GGATATGGACACTTTTAAATTGAATTATTGTTATAATCGTTCGGAAATCGATATAAAAATCGATCAATTGTCATTCGAAAGATACGACCCAGCTACTTCATCGAGAATTTCAACGTCCGCCACGCATTCAGTGTCTGACTTGCATCGCTTATCAAGAGATAGGGCGCGCGCGTGCAAGTTTTACCGAGCGATAAAAAAAAAAGAACTTTTTCTATTCGGTTATCGCCAGTTTACGCTACGAAGTTTGTCGATGTGTGCAAACGAGAAACGGTCGATCCGCAAGATTTCTAACCGAACTTTCGAAACCGAATAAGAATCAATTTGTCGCTTCGTAGAGACACCTACAACGATGATCCAGTGGATTACGAAAGATTCGCAGCTTCTTGCAAAATAAATGGAATGAGTGATTTTGACTAAAAACGAGTAAATTAAGTTTAAATATTGTTTCCTTTCAATTTCTTGTTTCATATTCAAACAATTTTCGCGCCATTGGTTAGAAATATTAATTTACTTAATATTGTTCATTAAATCTGTATTTTTTTCTTTTTAATTTAAGAAATAACATTGCTCCAATTTTTCAAATTGTAATCTTATACATGTTAGAAAAAGGTACAGATATTGAAAAATCTAATTTTCATGTGCCAAAACAGTTACAAAATCTCGTAAGTGCTCATTCATTGGTGCGTTTACCTTACGTACGTATTCAAGATAGAAGAAAAAAAGAAAGAAAAGAGGTTGCATCGCGGAAGGAATGGAAATGGCACGCAAGGAACGAAAGGGGGCACGGCTCTGTGTTGCTAAATCCGGCGATAAAAACGGCGCATTTTCGGGGCTAGCATTGGCAAGATAAGACGCTGTCGAAGCCAATACCTCGGCTTATATAGATTTTCGTTGCATCTTGCCAAACCCTGCGAAAATACGCTGCAAGGGAGCGTTTCGTCACGTTTTGTCCGCAACGGGAACTGATAATAAATTATCGACTCGTTTTTTTTTTCGACTGTTGTCCTTGTACCACATAAATACCGATGCACACAATTCGATTTTTTTTTTTTCTAATCGCCAGCAGTGTCTCTTTTAACCTCCCCTCGAGTGGATTCGACGTATACAGGGTGGGGACCACGAAACGTTATCAGTAGACCGGGGATATTTACACAAATTCACAATTTTTCACATGAATATCTGAAAATTAATATTCGATAGTTATTTTAGATAGACTCACCCTGTATGATAATAATAATTTCGTATATATTTTTTTACTACAATAAAACTAAACTACTTCTATCCATGATGAAAAATGTAAAAAAGCATGTTTTACTACTCTTTTTAATAATTACGTGGTGTATGATAAATCGTGTATAATAAACTATTAATAGGTTGAAGAAACATCCGTAAGGAGTCGTCTTTGCACGAAACCTTCATAAAAGACATTCTTCGGTCTGCTTTAATAAAGGATAATACAAAATTCTATTCAAAACGCGTATCGTCGGAGATTATTATACATATACGAGATATCATTCAAAGTCGATGGTCCAAGAAATGGTAACTAACAACGAGATTTCATGCCGTAAATTCATGTCCCGAGATATGTATATATATACGGCGAGATTTCGTGGAGAAATAGGTGAATAAGACGGCCGCTGGGCTGCGTTATATGCGGCTTGCATCAAGATCTATGTGCATTTCCGGCGGTTTCCCGTTATGCGCGTACATCGCATGGAATTGGACCACAACGCAGGTAATATCGGTCCTCGAGACTCCTCTCTGTCTCTGGTGCGCCTTGATTCGAACGATCTCGAAGGCAAATTATGTCAGTTTCCTTTTTCTTCCCTTTCCTTTCAACGATTACACGATATTTATTTATTACTCCTATTTTGCATAGACTTGGATGTCGAAAGTTTTTACCATTCAAACGTATAACTAACAAACGTGTCTTTAAAGAAACATTAATTTTCCGTATACTCGACAAGCAATTGAGGAATTGAATTGCGCTGGTCGAGTTTTTTTTCTCATATGTACAAGGTGTCTCATTTAAATCGACCCACTCGAATATCTTCGAAACTGTTGTCGATATTAAAAAATGTTTCGGACAAAAGTGAAATGGTATCAGGGAGCAGACATGTGTAATATTAGACAGTGCATTAAAAAATATACAATTCCATTTTAAAAAAATTAAGTTGACCTTCATACGACCTCCGAGTGAAAAGTTACATCGGAAAGTATGCACCTGATACGATTTAATTCTTGTCTGAAACATTTTTTAATATCGTCAACAGTTTCGGAGATATTCGAGTCAGGTCGATTAAAATAGGACACCCTGTGTATGTATCATCGGCTGCTTTTTCCCACACGAGAGTGGCTCTCAATTATTGCACTTAATTGCACGCAACACTCGTCATCCGTGATGATGTGCTAGACGAGGCCACCGCAGCCACGCTGAATTAAAAACAGCGGGAATCGCAACAACCGATTGATCCTGGTTTGAATTTCGAAAAAATCAACCGGTCGTTAAACTCTCGATACATTACGGGAGCGGACAATCGATTCACCCGAAGGGAATATTAAATTGTCCGAGAAACATTTCCAAGGAAAAGCAAGCTTAACCCGTTGCGTAACAGAGGCTTTAAAGAGCTCGAAGAAGCGAAAGCTATCGACGACCGACGGCCTCTGTGAGTGAGTTTGTGTGTCGATCGCTTATGCAAAAGAAAAGGAAAAATGAGCGTGTCGCCTTAAGTAAAAGGCACGAGCAGGGAAAAGGGGGATATTTCACGCTTCTCGGAAACCGATTAAGGACGCAACACCTATGCTACGTACGGTGGAAACCGCAATAGTCATTTCCACGGCCGTTCTCGCGGCACAGAGACCGCTTTATTCGACGGTATACAGTGACAGTCAAACGTGAGTAGTATACTAATATATTTTGAAAGTGTGGGATTCATTCATATTTATTACTGTCAATTTAGAATTTAACGTTTCGCATAAATCCTCTATTGTATTGAGATCTGGTGACTGAGGACTTAAAAAAAAATTTGAGGGCAGTGTTTAAAAATTTGAAAAAATGAGTCCTGTTTGTCCTCTTTATGGACAAATTTTCAGAAATATGGAGACCTTAAAATCAACGATACACGGACTCGAAGTAGGATCGAATATTGTATAGAATAAGTTCCTGTGGTGTTTATCTGTGAACCACTAAAAAATTGTTAGTTTCTTAGAGCAATATTAAGCCCGGAGGGCTCAAGTGTGCCGTTAAGTACAGAGTTATTAGCTGGATGAGAAAACCGGCCTCGTCGGATTCGATTGGATCAAGGCAGTTCTCAAGTATGCGCTGGATCGGACTGCTTCGAGTCTCCGCGGGGTTTTAAGACTTAAGACGATCCCGACACGGATCTTCCAATCGGAAGTTCAATGCAGACTTAACGGTGGTGCAGTAAATTCGCTGGGCAATTCTATAAAATCCCTGTAACAATGAGATTACGGGCAATCCATCGTTCTATAAATACATCTCAATATTTTTTAACCCTCTGATGGCTGGCGTTTTTGATGCTCGAAAACCTATCTTTCAAAAAACTCACAACAGCTTATTATTAACCATGGAAGTTGATTAGAGAACTTCGTGGCGACACTCCTCTCTCGTCGGTTTCTAAGGAGACAATCTAAACATCCCTCTGAGTCTACATTCATATAATAAAACACAGCTCTGTTTGCAGTAAAGTTTGAGATCACACGATTCGTACACACATCTGTCTCTCTCACATCCGAAAAACTGGGACACCGCCGAGAAGATAACGCGTCACTCGAACCGTTTCCACTGTGATCATTACGTAAACGTTTCAGCAATTAGAGATCCATAGTCGGCCACGATTCGTGCAATTAGAAAAACGCCGGAACGGCTTCCCTTCGCCGAGGGTAAACACAGAACGTTTCTGTTTAAAGAGACACACGCGCCAGAATATGCTACGCTTCGACTTTTGAATCGCTACAGAATTACAATTCATAAAAAAACAATGGCGAAACGATCTAGATTATAGGTTCCCAAAGTGGGCGCTATCACCCACCGGTGGGCGTTGACAAGATCCGAGGGGGCGTTCTATAGTTATTTTATTTCTTTTAATTACAATTTAACTTTTCAAGGTTCAAAGGTTCTCATGCACAAGTACACTTGGACATTTTTGATAATACAGAGATAGTTAACTCGAAGGGGGCTCCAAACAAAAGTGGGATACGCTGAAAATTAAATAATTTATGAACATTTAAGTCTTAAATGTTAACTTCAACGATGCCGACAAAAAGATCATCGAAAAACTCACGAGGATACTACGATATATTCTAAATGCACTTTCAAGAGAGCGGCAGCCTTGAGGACGCAAGCCGCCACGTGTTTTTTGCTTCTCATCGAAGGGTATACATATACCTACATACGGGATCAGACGTCTATCCACCGTGATCTATCCGAGACCTCATTGTTTCCATGTCTATACCCACAGAAGTCCCTTATCGAACGATGCTATCGTCATTAAGGGTCCCTTTATCGGTACCTTTGAAGTAATGATTCCCGAAAGTACAGTTACCTCACCCAGCGGTTGAAGAAAAACTTCCATTATTTTTTAAATACCTTAGCCACATCCTCCTTAATCAACTTCCTCTCTTCTCAATTCAAGGATTCAACAATAGTGCGAACACACGCCACTAATCATGCAGGTAATATCCATTTCCGAATTCTAAAAGAACGTAAGAGCGACAGAAAGAATTCCACAAAGATACTCTGATACAGAGAAAATAATAAGCATAACGCGTCCATTATTTGTAGGGTGTCCAGTTTGTTCTTTGGAATAACAGTTTCGCAATATCTTGTACATACAATCGAATACAGGAGTCATGTCGCACCTGCTAAATCAAAACAGATGCAACTGCCGGCAGCATTGCTTGGCAGCCTTTGTATATAATCCCTTTAAGCGGCAGGTAACGCGAATAACGGTATTTACATGGTGTTAAAAGATCTTTACCTGAGGGATATTGGCGTTCAGCTGACGATTCAACGAGTCCCGCTCCTTCTCGATCTCCTGGAGGCGCGCCTCTGTTTCCTGGAGACGTTCCTGGGTCTCCTGTAACGTCTCCATCAATTTGTCCCTCTCGTCGAGCATCGTGACCATCAGCTGCTCGAAGTTCCCGTCCTCGCCAGAGAACTGGGAACTCCGTTGACTAGTACTGTCCTCCGCAATCGTCGGCATCACGTCGCACATCATATTCCACATTTTGCGTTGTATTCCTGCCGGACTCACCCTTCAGACAAACACTGACAGAACTCCACTAGAAAACGCGCGCGCAAAAGATAAACGTGAAATTCCAGAAACGCACAGAAGGACACCGTCCGCGCGCGAAAATCCCTCTTTCTTGGTTTCGTTCTCTTCTAAATACCTTTTAGTCCGTTTCCAATCTCTCTTCAGTCAGTCATCTTTTCCCCCTGGTTTTCTCTCGCTCTTTCTCCGTCTCTCGTTTTTTTTTCTTCTTCACGTCTCTTTCTCTCCGTTTCTCGTACGCTTTGTCTCACTTCCTCTGTCCTTCTCGCACCCACGAGCCGATCCTAACGACATCCACGCGCCGGAATCCGCTATCTAAAGACACGATCAACTATTCTACACGGCGAGACACTGAAACTGCTACCTCGGTCGGATCTTCTTCACTGGGGATAATCCTAACCCACACAACACACACAGGACTACCCACGTCGATGTCGTTCCCCTGTTACCTGGTACATATCAGCGGTATCATCGCTCGAACAGTGTTTTCGGTTCAAAGTTTAACGAATACGCTTGGTCGGCTACGGGCCGACTCACCGTGATCGAAAGTCATGTCTCATTTTCACCATGATACCAAGCATTCCTTCCTCTTCCTCTTTGCATGTATCGTTGTTTACAGGGGCCGAAGAATATAATCGATGTGCCTCGCGGGTCTCGTGGCAGCTCTGACAGAAAGAGAGAGACTGTTAGCAGCAAGTCCTTTCGGAAAAATCGATCTCCCGTTGCAGGGTTCGAAAACTCGAGGACTGCCCGGAACACGCGATCCTCGGATAGATCGATACTCGGCGGTTCGTTCACCGTGTGTGTTGGCCTTTGACAGATCGGCCACGGAACAGAACTTTGCCGGACGTGTCGCACCTTACACGCTTCGATCCCCCATGTACGCGCACACGAGTCGTCAACACCACGCGAATTCTTCCCTTTCCATTTCGTCTCTGTTTTCGAGCTCGAACCGTGTTTTACTCTCTCGATCGGAACGGGTCAATGCAGATCCTGTGACACCCACGGGGCCCCCTCGGCTCTCCCGGAGCCGGGCAAACGAGGAGTCTGACAACTGGTGGAGAATAGATAGGAGCACACGGGGCTGAGATCACCTCGTCGACTGGCCACCGTTTGCTTTCCACTTCGATCTCATTCAGACGCAGTTTCACCGTGTTCACTGAACGCCGCTCTGTCATGCGACGAACACGCTACGATTAAAGGCTAAACGGTTCTGTACACCAGGTCAGAATAAATCGTGGTACTGGAGACACACACGTCGCTTCAATTTAGACCTCTTCCGGGAAATTCGCGATTTATCATCTCACCATCCGAGACTCGGCCGACCGAACGATCCCAACCGTGCATACGAACACTGCGCGAAGCGCGGCTCAGCCTTCGATGAACGGCATTTCGATGGCATTATTCCCGGTGAAGCCGAGCACTGACACACCTACAGTCCGTTCCTACCGCCCCAGCCTCTACGCTACTCCATTTCCAATACCGGCGGCCATCTTGCGCCGTGACGTCAGCCTATGTCCACCGAACGTACACCCGACTCCACCCGAGCGCCACACGACTTCGACTGATGGTCCGGTTCGCAATCGTGCGGCGGGATCGATGATCCTTTAGGACTCGTTCACATCGAAGTGCTCGTTTCAATCAAGCGCGGGGAATTTGGATTTAATTCGGTCTTCCTTCTGAACGGAATTATCTACAAATTGCAAAGGAAATGTTTAGTATACCACACTATCAAACGGTGATTGCAAATAAAACAGTATTATAGTTACTGTTTTATTCTATTTCATTGTTACCTTAAGTAGAACACTGGAACGAAGAAAGTAAATTTCTCTTTTCGTCTTTGCGAGTTTGCCTGGAAAAATGTGAATTTACATAAATAGACATAATCTAATGTCGATAATATTAATTCAAAAGCGACTTTAAACCAGATTTAGTTTCTCCTGTAAATTTCAAATTCTCTGAATTTTATGACATAGAAAAGTACTCTATGTTGTTGCTGAAATCAATTCGAAATTTGCGCGTGAAGAACCATTCGTCGAAGAGCAAGTATTCGATTGAAGTAGAGATATAATTTACAACTAGATCTCGACGCCAAATACCTTTACTCTATATAGGTTGCATAAAAATTTATAAAACATTTAATAAAAAGAGATTTATCGTGTGAATTCGTCGCTGCTTATAACAGTGATTTTCATTGAAATGAAAGAGAGAGAAAAAATCGGGGAGGCTTAACTTTCCAGAAGACGGAGACTGCGCTAGAACGTGAGATGCTGGATGATCAATACCGGCCGCTGTGTCAGATTCTGGACCAAGGAATACACTCGAGAGAGACAGACAGAAGGGAGCATCATGAAAACAGTAACGCATACTTGCACACCAGAAGCAGCTGCCGGTAAGTGGTCCGGTTCCAATTCACAATATCTTTAAACAAAATGATACATCCACGAATCAACAGACTCTTTGTACCATAATTGAAATTTGATTACACGAATGACTTGTCTTCTTGCACCTGTCATAAATGATTCAGTTTCCCTTTCGTCATAATCGTTCGAAATTCAAACACGAAGTAAAAATCTTCTTATCTATTTCTTTACGTTGAAAATTAACAGAAAACGCATGTAATTAATTTTTGTTTGCAAAATGGAAGTCCTCGTTAATGGTTGTTTCGGAGCAAGTCTGACGCAGTCGCCGCCTTGGGACTCGTCTATTCCCCGAATTATTCTGTATTCGTACGAGTTTCAGATCTAGCTGGAATCGATTCGATCGTGGATATTGCTGAATCCGTGGACGAGCTCCGCGAGAAATTGGCGAACATGAAAAGACTGATGGAGGAGCGGAAAGGCACCACCCTGGGCGAGATAAGCGCCAAAAAGAGAAAGGAGTCGTCAGACCTCATAGACGGGAACTTTCTGTCTTGGATATTCGGCTCGGCGTTGATCGTCATCCTGAGCGTCAGTTTCTATACATTTTATAATCTCTACCATGCGGTCCTGAAGAAATTTCCCTCGCATCACACGGAACTTTAAAGGAGAAACGATCCTGGTCTCTGCATCGAACATATATGTATACTGTTTCTTCATGAAGAATGTCTGTCTGTTTTTCACGAATCTCATGATGTAGGCAACGGAACGTACAAATTCATTTTTCAATCGTTTCGTGACTAAAACGTGTTACTTGGACAGACGTGTGATTAGAAGTTTCCTCTAGTATCGAAAGTATTCGTTTTACTGCGAATTCTTGTCTGTCCTACTGGAAATTTTGTAAAAATGACACGGAAACTTCGAACCTCCGGCTGAGAAGAACAAGTTAGAAGAAAAAAAAATAGAGAATGGAACGGCAAGAATGTTCCCCCCGCGTATGTTTAAAAGATTCTGAAAAAAGTTTCTACCATTTATGTTCCAATCGACAAATACTCCATTTAAGTTTGCCATCGTATGCAATCATTCTACATATAGTTTCCCGTCACATCGCAGTACCACCAAGAAACGTGCGTATTGGAAAACCAACATGTTGCATAAGAAGCAAGTTCCTTAAAACATTACTATGCACTATCTGTATTTGTGTGTTTGTATGTAAACAATATGGGTAACTCGATTCTTTTACAGAGTAGCACAATTAAAATAATGGACTTCTCAAATAACTATTTTAAATATACACTGTGTATAGTGTGTCTGCAAATATTACCAATTAATTTAAACAGTTCACACGCAATACTGCATGCGAGAAAGGCAACTTGTTCTAGCTGATTATGCAAAACAATTTCTCTTAATTAAAATAAATCTCCCTTCAAACAGAATTCCATTCGCCCTTCTTTATCGCAATTTTCTATCGTGCAGTTAAACGCGAACAACATTTCCATATCGATCATTTATTCGAATGTACATATTGTGAATAATAAATAAAGTTACGATTCGATCGAAACCGTCGAACGTTCCATAAATCTTTCGATCCTATCTCAACGTTTGAGGGAATAGCCTTTGCTTCTCTGTTCTTAATTCTGTTTTAATATGAGAAACAATACTGCGAAAAGTGAACAAAAAATCACGATATCATACGTACATGAATATGGGTGAAAATTTTCATTTTAAAGGAAGGCAACTCACGCGAGGATTTCTTGGTTTTTCAGTACTCGGAGCTGCAAAGAATTCAACAATCAATCATATTAGAAAATAAAAAAAAAATACTTTGAATAAAAAAAACGTCTCTTTAAGTAAAACATCAACCTACAGAACAATGCCTTTTTGCTTTCTAATTCCCTGGTGAAATTGTTCAACGTCGTCTGATAATCTTCTTGTTGCTGAAATTATATTAATTTCATTACACAGTCAGTTTTATTTATCTTTCATTCTAATACCTTTATCACTTCGCTCTTAAGAGCTTCCCTTCGAACTGACAAAGTCGAAATTTGGTTTTGCAATGTCTTTACCTGTGAAACGTACGAAATTTCATCACGCTAAATTATTTCACTTTTGGCGCGAGAAATGCAATCCGTCTAACCTCTTCCTCGATCTTCCGGACATCCTTCTTCAACTCTGTTGTCAGAGACGAATATCGATCCCTACAGTTCGACGTTTTATTTTCTATGTCCGTTAAAACCTTTTCTGCATTCTTTATTTCGCAATGTGATCGCTGTAACTTTATTTACACCGAAATTACATTTATATTATACTTTTAAACTTCAAAATAGTACTCTCAAAGCCTGAACGCTCACCGCCCGTTCTTTTTCCGTTAATACTCCCAATTTAGAATCCACGTTCTCGCGAATCTGGAATGATTGATGAAATCGTCTAAATGAAATAAAACTCGAAGTAATGATAATATAACGTACTAATACGCTTTGTTTAGCTATAGATTATCTATTCGTTTAAAAATGACAGTTATAACTGACTTCGGCAGGAATTTCCGAATCCAAGGTTTCGCCTCTGACCGCGATCTAAGTTAGACGTTTACACTATTTAGATATACGATGTCTACGATTTTGTTCCGTTACGAGTAAAAGAACTCTTATTAAACTTACGCATTTTTTCAATTCCTCCGGTTGAGCATTATACTTGATTGTATTATTAATAACATTATTAGTCAATAAAAAGTACGATAATAATCGATTATAAAGGATGAAGAGATTTCCTTACCATTAACATTAGGAAGGTGACGACGCAGTATACCACAAATGTAAAAATACATAAAATTTCGAAAATATAAATGGCCAGAAGTACAAACCACATGACGAAGAATTTTTGGACAAACTTTTCAACAGTAAACACTAAAATTTACTACGAGCATAGCTTTACGAACGGAGGAATGATGGGACCAACGGTTTTTTGAATGCGGTTTCCATTTGGAATGAACGTTATCTTATGGTTCGAGAATCGAAATAACTCAACGATTTTAAGTGTTTCGAGTTATCGGTTGTCTTCAGATGGGCGCCCAATATTCAAATATTTAAAAAATACTTGCGCTATCTAGGAAGATTAGACATCAATTTTGCGATTAAAATATGTAGATACTTACTAATAGTTTAGGAAATCATAATGTAAAACAGATATTTGTATCTTTTAATTACTATATGTATTGATTATTGTATGACGATTTATTTAAAATTTTTGAAATAAACTTTTAATGTACTCTACTTCCTAGCAAAATTTTATGTTATATTTTCTTAATAATAACAGATATTCTGAATGTACATACATATCTTTTATTATAAACTCTAGAAATAGAACATATATGCTTGAAGAATCGAGGTATTTTCGCAGTAAGCCTTTGAATGTTGGGTGGAGCAACATAATCATTATTCTATGCACAGTTTAATGCTAAGATACACGTGCTCGAAATGCGTTTACGTGTCATTCTTGAAAAAAACAACATTAATAGAAGCTAGCAGAAATTATTCCCACAATATAACCTATAATAATGGAATTCTCACACCTGAGCAACTCAACAAAAATGAGAACTGCAGAGACTTTAACAGATACTCGAATTTTTCACCCCAAAAAACAATATTACCTTCACAATCACAAGTTATTATTGCGGGTGCAGGGACAGTTGCCAATTCTGTTGCCTATCATCTTGTTGTTAATGGATGGAATGATGTACTTGTTGTGGAACAAGACAGGTATACATTGATTTATTGAATAAAATCAATTTCAGTAGTTAAACGTTTTCAATCGTAACATTATACTGCAGAAAACTGAAAGTCTTATTACAGGATTGGAAGTGGAACATCCCATTTTGGATCGGGCACCCTTGGTCTTTTTAAACCCATATCTCACAGAAATCTAATCTCCTATAGTATTAAGTTATATCAGCAATTACAAGAAATGGGATATGATATTGGATTAAAACAATGTGGTAGCATAAACTTAGCCCAAACCAAAGATAGAATGATAGCTTTAAAACGTAGAATGGCTTATAATGTACCTACAGGATTACATTGTGAAGTAAGTTTTATTAGTAATCACGTGTTGTAACGTAAATAGAAGGACAACTTTTAATGTGTGATAAATTGATTAGATTTTAGGTAAAAAACAACTGAAGAGATTACATCCGTATCTTAATACAGAGGATATTGAAGGTGCAGTTTGGGTACCTGAGGATACAGTAGCTAATCCCAGTGCAGTTTGTGAAGTCCTAGCTAAACTAGCAAAAACTGGAGGAGCAAAGTATATTGAGAATTGCAAAATAGAAGAAGTGAACACTGAAAATGGAGCTGTGAAGAGTGTAAAAACTGAATATGGTGTAGTCTTCTGTGAATACTTTGTTAACTGTGCAGGAATGGTAAGAACAATTGTTCATCCATCAACTTTCAACTTTATTGAATACAACTCATAATATTTACTTAATTACTGTATAGTGGGCACGTGAATTGGGATTGCGATGTAACCCACCAGTCAAAATCCCAGCATATCCTGCAGAACATTTTTATGCAATTGCTTCTTCCTTTTCACCTAATTCAAGTATAACTTTACCATGCATAAGAGACTTTGATTCATATTCATATATGAGGGAATGGCAAGGAAGCTTATTAGTTGGATGGTTCGAACCTGAATCAAAACCTGCATTTGAATATGGTACCGTCCCAACACAAAACTGGAAAAATTATCTTCAGAATAATCGTTCTCATTGGAAACCTTTGTGGGATAAAGTTGTACATAGATTACCAATTTTGAAAAACATACAGCCGAATGTATACAACTGCCCTGATAACTTTACACCGGACGGTAGATGGATATTAGGAGAAAGTCCAGAAGTAAAGAATTACTATGTTGCTGTAGGCATGAATGGAAATTCTCTACAAGGTAAACAGTTTGTATATCTCTAATTATATGCATCACAAATTACACGGATGTTATAAAACACTTTCGTATAGGAGCAGGAGGTATAGGTAAAGAAGTGGCCGAGTGCCTCATAAACGGCGAATCTACACAAGAAATACTTCCCTTTGGCGTGCAAAGATTTCTTGATTTGCATAGCAATAAACAGTATTTACAGCAAAGAACAAGAGAAGTAGTGGGTAGAAATTATGCAATTTTATATCCTCATCAATGCGAGTATAAATATGCTCGGAAATTGCGTTGTTCCCCTTTGTACTCTGTTCTTGAAGAGAGGGGTGCTATTTTTGGAGTGAAGATGGCCTACGAGCGTCCGCTGTACTTTGATTCTACTTATAGGAGTAAGAAAATAGTTGTTTGACCTTTCTCTATGTCCTATGTTACGTTCCACCAATTGAAATATGATTAATGCAATTAAAAGGAGGACAAAAGAAGCCAGTAATGCCGCCGGGTAGTTTCTACAAACCCAAGTTCTTTGATTTTATGAAAGAAGAATTTCTAGCATGCCAAGAAGGAGTAGGAATCATAGATATGAGTTCATTTTCGAAAATTGAAATTAAAGTAAGTATATAGAAAGAGAATGATTATAAATTTCTTATACAATTATTCATAGTTTAACTGTATTGTACACAGTCTAGTCGTTGGGAAGTCGTAGAATATCTTCAACAGTTGTGTTCTAACGATGCAAATATACCAGTTGGTGGTATAGTGCATACGGGAATGCAAAATGAACGAGGTGGATATGAAAACGATTGTATTTTAGTAAGACAGTCAGAAAACAGTTACTTCATGGTTTCACCTACATCACAACAAACGCGTATTTATCAATGGATGTCTAGGTAAAAAGTAACTAAAGATACCTGCTAATAGGAATCAAGTAATTCAACTGTAGCAACTGTACACTTGTTATACAGACATTTACCAACGGATCACTCGGTCGGCCTCAATGATGTAACTTCAAAATATACGGTAATCAATTTAGTAGGTCCTAAAGCAACAGGATTACTATCAGAACTTTCGAATTCTAACATTAATTTATCCCCCTTCACATACAAGGTAACAAATTGGTTCGATAGTGAACGTTTATGCATCTACAATATAACTTTAACAACAATTTTAATACTGACAGACTGCCAACGTAGCGTATGCCTCCGATGTTATGATAATGTCATTCACAAATACTGGTGAATCTGGTTATTGTTTGTATATACCTTCAGAGTATGCGCTTCACGTGTACGCGACTTTAATGGAAGTAGGCAAAGATTACGGAGTACGCGATGTAGGTGTACTCACGCAGCGTTTTATGCGAATAGAAAGGTTTATTCCCTTTTGGGCCGAAGAACTGACACCGTTCATTACTCCGTACGAAGCTGGAAGCGGATACAGTGTAAAATTAAATGTAAATATATATCGTGCATGTTTAAATTGTTCAAATTGTAATACTCTGAAACCTCTATATTAACATCATCATTTGTTACAACAGAAAGAATACTTCATTGGAAAATTTGCCTTACAATATCAGAAAAAGCAAGGCGTGACAAAACGATTGGTATTATTCGTTGTTAATGAACTGGATATAAATAAAGATGTGTGGCCCTGGGGTGGTGAACCTATTTATCGAAACAATGAATTTGTAGGAACTGTTACATCAGCTGGGTAGGTACATACGATGAATACTAGTGAAATATATATTTATCCAGATTATCAAGTCATAAATGAATTGAATTTGTAGGTATGGTTTTGCAACAGAAAAACACATTTGTCTTGGTTTTATTAGTTTACCTGGACCAAGACATACGCAATCGAATATGAATATTGTTACAACAGATTTTATAATGAATCCTACAACACGTTATGAAATCGATATCGCTGGTACAAGATTTCCTATTAAACCTCATATTTATCCTTTACCGATACCAATACTGGGTACTAAATTAAACAAGAAGTATATTCCTACACCTATTATAGCATACGAAAATGACGTATCACGATATTAAATTACTAATAATAGTGATAATTAATTGAAACGGAAGAACAAATTTTTACTTTCCAAATGACTATATGAGTTCTGAATTATACAGATATATTTATAATTTTCGTATTTTTTAATAAGTTCGTTGAATTTAAATATATGTTTTACAGTTTTAAATGTAATGTTTGCATTGTACTTCGTTTATGTGTTAATGAGTGCCTAAATGTAACGTACAAATATACAAATATTTAAACTTTTTTATCACTTCCGTTTTATTTGCAGTTACACTAGATTAATATATATTTGAATAGATTTATTTATAGCAGACACATTTATACAAAGTTTAAAAGGCCATTTAACAATGTGAATACTAAACTACCCTCGAAAATATGTTTATATACATTCAGATGATATTGAAGTTCAAAAAGCAACAACATAGCTTGTAGATCATCAATTTTTTACACTGCAGATTGTATATATAACTTACTAGCAATTATTGCTATTCGTGTAAATTATATACTTGTTTATTTTAGTTTGAGTTTTGGTTATTAATTAAAAATTATGTTGGCTAGCTTATATACATATAAGATATTTGCTTATCATTATTTATGAAGCTTCTCTATAGGTCAGTGAAATTGTTTTTACTTCATACATACAAAGCAGAGTGATGTATTCAAGCTTCATATGCACATCATTTTGATCAATTTTTAAACTGCACAGAAAAATACTGCAATATTGACTCTGAAATAATTAAATGATATAAAATCCATAAAGTAAAGATTCTTATAACATTGTTGAGTTCCTCAGCAATGTGTATTTTGTGTGAGTTCTTAATTCCTTGTAAAATTTGTTTAACAAGCATTTTGATACCACCTTACGATGCCCATGCTTCCAACTCTTTCAAGTCTTCATCCTCTTCTGGTTTGGCTTCTAAATAATAAAAAAGTAATTGTGAATTTATATATTGAATGTTATAAAATGATACATTAACACATTTGAAACTGATGTATTATTACACGACTCTGCCTGGTAGCTGACAATGTTTACAAATCGTCCATATGTGACTCACATGCTGAGATGTCAGCTAACCAACAAGTTATTATATGATTCATATGTACAGTCATCTGTCTCGAATGTGTTAAACATAATATTAGATGTATTACTTGTGCGAGTCCTGGCTGGTGCAGCTGGGATAGCAGTGGCTGGAACATTTGGAAGTTCATCGGTAGGTTCAATACCAAGCAATTCTTTATCAAGTTGTTCTTGTTCAAGTTCTTCTAATTCTTTCTCTAATTCTTCTTCATCTATATCTTGACCAAATGCTACAGGATTGGATATTGCATCAGAAATTTCTCTGGCTACATCTTGTTGTTCAGCTATATCATCCATCATGTCATGCACTTGGTCAACATCCCTGAAGAATGTATAATATATTACACAAACTTGTATGAATATTATACACAAACAAAATTACAGTGCTTGATCCCTTACATGTGTTGATGAACAGATTTTAATGCATCTGCTGCACTTTTCATTGTAGTGAGTACAGCAGTATTTGTATTTGCACTTTCCAATGCCTCCCTTTGCATTTCAATTGTAGATAAAGTGCCATCAATTTGTTGTAACTGTTTTTCATATCGTTTCTTTCGCTTAAGGGCTTGAATTGCAGCTGAAAGCACAACAAATTCGTATTACACATTTTGCATTACCACTGGTCACAGATGGTCAGTTTTTATTTGCATCCACAATGTTATCGCAGTATTTTTAAAATTGTTCCTATTTTAATTTAGAAAAGAGGGTATACTTTGTCCTTATTCTTAGAAACACCCTGTACAATAGAGAAACGTCATAATGACAAGTGATGTTATTCGTAAAAAATTGTCCATAAAAACAACGCTAACGAGACGAAAAAATACTGTTCCCGGTTACCTCTCTTATTTTTTGTCCCATGCTTCTTGGCAACTTGAATTTCAAAAACTATTTTACTCTCAAGAAAATCTTGTTTCTTTATCAACATATCTTCTGTCTCGCGTAACTTCTGTATCGCCTCGGCCGTCGTCAGAGGGGCCGGTTCCTTTTTACCACCGAACACTTTGCTAAAGAAACTCATTGTTCTGGCGAATTCTGCACCAAATTTAAATTATATTAACTATTAACACTCCCGAACACAATAAACGCTATCAACTTTGAACAGAATCAACATAAGATCGCACACCAACCACGTACGATCGCCATGTTCTCTTTGGCATTGATATACGTCATGACTCATCGCCAAGTCGCTTTGAAATTTTGAATCCTGTTTAATTATCAGAAATTGCAATGTCGTAAATTTTTAACTATAAATTTCAAATTTTCTATAGTCACAATACTATTATACATTAAGATTATATAGTAACTTCAAGAATTATGCATCTCGTGCATCTTGAAAAAGGAAATTGGTACATAAATCCTTAAATTTTGTTATCTTGGAAAATCACGTGTGGCAAATGTCATAAGAAAAATCTCTGATTTGCATGTTATTACATATTTTATGAATAGTTTCTCGTTATATGAAAGACGTTACTACATGTATATAAAAATATTTATGCATATAAACATCGGTTGACATACTCATATCTATGCCGATGACTTGATTTATATATATATATATGTATATAAACAAGCATTTAGAATTATCAGATGATGATGTAATTGATGCGTCATAATCCAGACTCTATATAGACTGTAGTAATAGAAATATAAATACATTACACAGTTCTGTTGTTTCTGTTGCATCACAATTATTGTATATAATTCAATTCGCAAGGTATCTATTCGTAAATAACCCCTATAGATGGAGAACAATATTGGAAACGTAAGTTTGTATCATAAAATACCATTAATACTCGCTTCTTAAATTTTTAAATCTCCTACTGTTTCGTGAAACGTCTTTCTTTGAGTCTCATGATACAAGAAACGACATTTGACGTGCGCAACATTTCGTAAGAACATTTAAAAATAAATATGTGCGGCCACCGATACCGCTTTCTTTCCCGGGTTCTTTTTAAGTTCAGTTCTTATGCACGATGCGAAGCACATGGAGAGATAGGGATCGGGTAATAATTTGAGTTTGTCAAGTATTTCTGAAATATATATGAATAATAGACGTTAGTATTCGTATAAAAATATTAAATACTATCTTTTTATGTTTTTATTGTTAGGACTTTCAAAAAGAACTACCGGATGGCGAAACTACCCAACGTCTTCTACTAAATACTTTATGTACAACATCAACTGAGAATAGACCAATACCAGGATTTGATCCTAATAAAGACGATGTTCAATATTATCGCCTCCAACAAAGTATTGATTGCGATGAGGTATATCCAGGAATATACATTGGTGACTCGTAAGTACCTTCAAGTTGTATTTTATATTATTTCTTTTGCGCTTCGTCAACGGATAATTTATCTTTAATATCTTACAGTGCTACAGCAAGAAATAAGCAATATCTTCAAATGCTGGGTATAACGCATTTACTAAATTGTGCAGAAGGAAAACGATTTGGATTTGTGAATACAGATGAAAATTATTACAAAGATACAACAATAAAATATCTTGGTCTACCACTTGCAGATGTATGTAGTACAGATATTAGCAAATACTTTGATACTGTAGCAGATTTCATTGATGAAGCTGTTTCTACGAAAGGTATTATTAAAACTTCATAAAGATCTAAATAAATGGAAGTGTATCATCTAATGGTTGACAATCTTTTTACAGGAAAAGCTTTCGTACATTGCGTGTTAGGAATATCTCGGAGCTCAACATGTGTACTAGCATACCTAATGATAAAGAAAGAAATGTTAGCTGTTGATGCTGTCAAGACCGTCCGCAAGAATCGTTATATCCAACCGAACGACGGCTTCCTTCATCAATTGGCACGATTAGATAATCAACTAAGAAGGCAACGATTATAATTTAATACAATAGTATAAAGGCATTAGAAATTTTCCTAAAGTTGCAAGAATACTGTACAAGCGTGCACGTGTGTGCAATTTCAGAATCATGTATTGTACGGGGATAATTTCACATGAAAGTGAAATATGTACGTTCAGAACGTATGCTTAAGCTGCTATGTTACTATTTATACATATATTTTGCTATTTAATACTTTAATGTCACATGCTAGTGAAAGAAATCTTTGTTAATTCATTGAAAATGCAAATATTTATTTTTCTATGAAACCGCTATATTTTAGATTAATTTCCATGTCAATTTAATTTGTGATTGTTATTTACAAATTACAAAAGAAATCATTCTACAAAAACGTATCTAAAAAATTATATAAAGTATATATAAAAAAGTATCACGAATATATGTATTTCGTGAGAACGTATTCGCATGATCATGATTCAATTCCTCTATCAAAATATTATATACCTCCTTATATAGAGTCATTTTCTTTTATAAATTGTATTATTCAATAAATTATTAAATCGATACTGTAATACACAAAACTCTGGACTGCATAGCATTATAATTTATTCCTAAACTCTTTAATTTACCACACGAGGCCTTTTAGAGTGTGTCTCTACGAGTGTAGATGAATGATTTGGCGTGCCTATTTCATTTGTATCTAAATCTGCTGGACCACTACGTTTTCTCGCCTTTGGAGATAACTGCTTCAAACATTCCATATCATTGAATACAACCTGTGCACCACCTCCACTGGTTGGTAGTATATCTCCCTGACATAAAAAATAATTTTATACATTATTGTGTACTAAATAATACGTTTGCTTTGTAATTCATTTACAACCATGTTACCTTATACAATTTTGTTTCGAGTTCCCCATCAGTGTCGTGTTCCTGTGCAACGAGACAGTATCGCGATGCCCCATCCGTAATCTCCTTTGGATCTGTAAGTCGTGAAACACTCCGTCTTCTACGCATTAATGGTTGTAGAACCGTTCCTAGAGGAACGAGTGCTCCTGGTCTGTGATCAATCCATCTGTCAGCACTCTGCGAACGTCTATGCCTCAGATTTGAAACAGCTACCTTATCCTATGAACAACATTTTTCTTTTTTCAAATATGTGCATCCTTAGACAAACAGATATAAGTGGAGAAAGCTGACCCTTCGAGATCGACCGTCTGTTGCTTTTGTATTTGCTTCTGAGTTAGCACTAGCCGTAACTTTTGGAGTAACAGGAACAGATTTGATGCCATTATCGTCAACTAGAATTTGCTTTACCAGTCTCAATTTATGCTCTTTCTCCTTCATTTGATTCTGGAAAGGCAGTAGATTATAATAAACACCTGGCTCTACTTAGTACGCTTTACAGGTATGCCTCACTTTATTACCTGCAACTGTTCACGTTGTTGACGTAATTTTATTTCTAATTCTCTGTTCATTTTATCGGTTTCAACTTGCATTTTACTGTTATATTTTTGTTTCACCCTTTGTTTATCTATCAAACGTTGGTTTAATGCCATATCTCTATCTTTTAACTCTTGTTGCAAGCTACGGATTGTATCATTTGCATGATTTAATTTACGAAGCAAACTATCAATTTGGTCTTCACTTTTACACAGATGGCCCTCCAATGCTGACACCTTCTTTTTTTGTTGAGAATTAGTTGCTTTTAGAGATGCATTTTCAATTTTCATGTTCATATGCTCCTGTTCCATTATCATTAATGTTTTTCTAAGATCGTTTTCTGTAAATATAGTTCTTATGATATTCGATAGCTCTTAGAAAGTAATCAAAAAAAATTCTTACGTTTTTTCTGTAAATCAACACGTAACATGTTCCGTTTATTGATACGTTGTTCCAAGAAGTGCATCAAATTAGTAATTATTTGATCGTTGCATGGAGAAATAACTTCCAATTCGGGGAATGGACCGCCCAAACTACATTAACACATATTTACATCGAGTGAAATTGAAAAAGTTAAAAGTGGTAAACGTTAAGGGACAAATACATACCTATATACTAAGCCTATATCGATTTCTAGATCGGCAGCTTCGGGACGACCTTCTTTCTCCAATCTGCTACGTGCCTCCTTAAATATCTATTAAACAATTTCTTTTATAAGCATTTTCAAATTTATTCTTCCACATTCTTCCATTATCCATCTTACCTTGTTTGCCTGTCTTCTTCCAGGTGTGTAACCAAGATCTAATTTAGTAACTGTTGGTCTAGCTATTTGAACTTCTTGGGTCATTTCCGCAAACTTCATGACTTGCTGTAAGTAAATATATTAATATAAAAGTGAGTATTCTGTGTTACATTTATATTTTCATATAATTGACTTATTACATACGATTGTCTCATCAAAATCGTTTGCTCTTGGATTAGCACAGACAATCATTCTCACTTGTCCCTCTCCATCAAAGTAATTCTTAAACAAATGAGTGAGCTTCGAATCCCTATAGGGTACCATTTTATTTGTATTCTGAGTTTGATTCTCTCTTAAAATTTCCAGACACGATCGAAGTGTCATCAAGGAATTGTTGATATTACCTAAACAAATGAAAAATTAACTACTTCATAAGGAAATATGTTAGAAGTCAATTATAATAATTATAATTGAAAGATAATTACCTGCTTCTCTCAATCGTTGCCCCGTATTTTTGGTTCTATTTGTTCTTTCACTGCCAGCTAAGTCTACTAAGGATAACTGAGTGATACATATTATACGTTTGTCTTGTATAACTTGTTCACCTTCACAATCCAAGGGTGCCTATAAAAAGATGTACTATTGTATTATTTACAAACATTAATTATACAAAGAAATTAAGAATCTTACTTGTACAAGACGAATAGTGAAGACACTGTGTGACCTGCTTGATTCTGCATTCAAAGCAGTATGTGCTACTCGCCTTCTTCTTTGACCACATTGAAATACTTCAAATGCTTCTTCCGAACTTTTCACTTCAACTTCTGTTACAGCATGTACATACATGTTTTTGTTTCCATCTTCTCTAACTATTTTACTCTGTAAAGTCCTGGAAATTGTTTCAAAATGCTATTACATTGTTTACAAATTTACTTAAAAAAAATAAGTTTGTAAACATACTTGTTTCTGATGTCTTCGTCTTCCAACAAATCATACACACTGTTGTTATATATTTCAACATAAGTAACAAAAACTGCATAGGCATTGTCTTGATCCACTGTTACTACTTGTGACTCATTTACTTCACGAACCGTTATTGGATTACTATCTCCATCACTCTCTGCTTTTTTTCTGTTAATGAAAGATATATGCACAAGTGAAGATATTTTGATTAAATCTATCCTTTACTGAATAGCTTTTTCGTACTTACACCTTGCCTGACTTTCCATTCCTCTGAGACATAAGCCCGGCATGAAATTCATTCTGTCTATCAAGCATAGCATCAGCTTCACTCTGTATATCGAATCCATTTAACTTATCGGGTTTAAAAACAAACTTTTTCGTTTGATAATTAGCAATGCTATTAAAAATGACATCAAGACAACGAGGCATGATACCAGGATCTTGTTGTTCACCAGTCATTGTATATGTTTTCCCACTTCCTGTTACACCGTAAGTAAACAAAAGGCTATTCCTACCACGAATAACATTTTCAACCAATGGAAGAGCAACTACATTGAAGACTTCTTTTTGTGTAGCATCCGAACTAAACACATGACTGAATGTTGTCTGAATTTCTTTGTTGCCAGAATTCCGAAAATTTATTGCCGACTCCGGTGGAGTGATGGCTATAGTTGCATCTGATATAAGTTTCATACATGGTGCATCTGTGGAATGTTGCATTGGCCTTAAACGACAGTAAACTTGAACTGGATCTTTAGATATCATATTGTTGCCTTTTGGTCGGTTTATTAGCTTACGAGCTGAATTTGGTGGCTTTATGCGCCTAAAATAGTTCATAGTATTGACATGTATCCTGACTACAGACGAAATGTTATAAGGGTATATATTAACAGAAACACTTACGCCGACTTCATTTTCTTGTAATTGTATTAATAACGTAATATCAATTATTGTAAGACTTATGATACGCTTTCGTTCTTTTGATAGATGCCAGTATGCTGTAGTATGCAACAGGTATAAACCGTTGTCTGCCGTTGTCACAACTGGTCACAACATTCGAAATTCAAATCTAGGTATATACCATTATTGGATCTAGACGAGCAGTGCTACCAACAATCGTACACAAATGGTTCCTCAACATTAAAGTACTAACCTACAAGCAATATGATTGGCCCACGCTGTAATGGGACGCATACGAAATTTTTATTTGAAACAAATTTTATTATACCTATATTGCCATTCGTAAAGAAAATTTTGTATAGAAAACATTACTGGAAAAATTATACGACGAAATAACAAACAGATATTTTGTTTTTCTCAAAAGAGAATTTATTTTTCATATTTATACAAAGACATGAAGTTTAAAGTTACTTCTTGGTGGTTACTTTCTTATCCTTTGTAACATCATCAGGGTTTTCCGCTGCATCCTTCACACGTTTCGCGCGGATTCCCACTAATCTAGCATCAGCCCTAGCTTTACGAAGAGTTATGTATGCAGAGAATTTCTTCTCTTCTTCAGAAATGGTACGTGCTTTAGCTTTGGCTGGTGCCTGGTGTCTTATAGGCATAACTTCTCCTTTAACTTGACTTGCTGTCTTCATCTCCTCCTCGGTTGCATCACCCTTCTTAGGCTGTCATGAATAATATGTGGTATTAATTTCTTTCTATGGACAGATTTAACAGATTCACAAACATGGTACTTACTTTCTTGTCATTCAATGGGAAGAGAATCAATTTGGATTTGTATTCTTTCAATCGTTGAGCATTTGTCTGTAAAGATTCAACTGACTTGTTTCTCCTTCTAGGATCCACTGCAATTCCAATAGTTTTAACAAATCTTTTGTTCAAACCACTGGCTTTAATTTCAGCCAAGGTAAAACCTTTGCCAGCCCTAACTTTGGTATGATAACGGAATGTTGGGCAATGAACAACAGGCCTTAAAAGCTTGACAGGTCTGAAAAGTAGTTTGAATTAGTAGACAAACATGAATGAATTATATTATATTGTGTAACCAAATCAGAAAAAAAAACTAATCACCTTGGTGCAACTGCACGAGCTTTTTTCACACGATTTTGTTTACGACGGTATTTCCTAGCTGGCTGGTTGAACCAGGTTTTTACAAATCTTTGCCAATCCTTATGGAAATGGCCATTAGGGATCATATTATTTCTTTTACCCATGGTTAAACTGAAACCCAAATAAAAACTTCAAGACTTATTTCTAAAGTTTTCTGTAATCCTCCATTATCTTTCTAATTATTACAAACTATCTTAATATATTAAGAAGCATAAAGCTGAATGCATTAAGTATTAAAACAGGTTAGAAATATTTTATTGTTAGAAATAATAAACATATCATTTGACTTCTCTAATCGCGTAATATTTGATAGCTTTGATGTTACTCTATATTAATATAATTGTATTATATGTTTTTCATGGTCCAGGGAACCAATTTTGCTATTTTGAATACAAAACATACTGGATCTTAACCTTTCTATTAACGTCAAAAACTTATTGTATTTAATAAATTATAAAATGACAACTATATTGTTTAATCACAGTCGAGAACGCAAACAGCAATGTCCTTTTTACGGTTTTGCGAAGTATTAATTCGAGATGATAAATTTTTCATCGGATTTCAATTCCGAAATACTACTTACGAAATTGTTTACACGGTGTACACCGGAAAAGGAACCGTTCATCGAAACGGAAGTTACATTTCTCAAAAAGTGTAATATATACGTCAAAGTAAAGTTTTACATCTTTTCATTTTGAAATTATTCTTTAAGCACATTTATTGTTAAATAATAACTCATGAAAAAATTGTCTTTAATACAAACTTTTACACAGCGAACGTATTTTCATTAAAGTAGTAGCCTAATATGGCAGCCTCCATGATACAAGCAATGTGTTTGTCGTCAACATTTTAAAACACTATGTATATAAAGAATTAAGTATTAAAACTTAACAATGACGTTTACAGGTATATTCCGCAGGAACGTAGTCCCACATTTTAAAAAACATGTACTTTTTAAAGGTGTCATTACTCGATTCTCTTCAACCGGTATAAATTTATTTTCGGTACAAATTTTAATTTGTCAACATATGTGACGTAGAGTAATATATGTTTTATAAAAATATTATTAAAAACTGAATTTGTTTAGAATGACGAAGTTACACAGACAATAAAAAAGGATATAGAGAAACACTGGAGGGATAAAATTAATTTGCATAAGTACAATGAAACGGATGATAAAAAGGAAAAATTTTATGCATTGTCAATGTTTCCATATCCTTCTGGACTGTTACACATGGGTCATGTAAGAGTTTATACGATAAGTGATACTGTTGCTCGCTTTTATAGAATGAAAGGCAAGTTCTCTGTATTAAAAATGGGTTAAACTTGTCACATGTTTTATTAACTACTCTGATATTTAATCATAGGATACAATGTTCTTCATCCAATGGGTTGGGATGCGTTTGGTTTGCCTGCAGAGAATGCAGCATTTGAGAAACAAGTAGATCCTGCTCAATGGACAAATGATAACATTAATAAAATGAAAAATCAATTGAATTTATTAAATTATGGGTTTGATTGGGACAGAGAATTTGCAACATGCAATCCAGAATATTATAAATGGACTCAGGAGTTATTCTTGAAACTCTTCGAAAGGGGTTTAGCTTATCAGAAAGAGGCATTTGTCAATTGGGATCCCATTGATCAAACTGTATTGGCAGAAGAACAAGTCGATGCCGATAATTGCTCTTGGAGATCAGGGGCCAAAGTGGAGAAAAGATTATTGAATCAGTGGTTTATTAGAACCTCAGCATTTGCTAAGTGAGAGCATGATTACATAACACCTATAATATATTGTAACAATTAAGGTATAATATTTAATTAGACATTTTCTATTAGGTTATTGATTGAAGGTTTAAACGACCCAATATTAAAAGAATGGAGAGATATTATAAAAATACAACAGCACTGGATTGGTGAATGCAGTGGAGTTAGTTTTGAATTACAGTTGATATCAAATATTCCGAATTTTCCAAAGTCAATAAATGTCTGGACAGATAATCCAGAATTTATTGAATATGCAAAGTTTATTGCAATATCCCCAAGCAACTTATTAAATAGATCGGAGTACTGTTCACGTATAAATGATGGAATTAAAATAATGGATGCTAAAGTTATAAATCCATTCAATGGAAAAGAGCTACCAGTGTTTGTAACAGATCAAGTTGAATTTCAACCTTTCCGAGAAACTTATCTAGGGATACCTTCTGCTTCAATGAATGATTACCAATTTTCTGAAATAGTTAGAATTGAATTTCAACGACATTCAATAAGAAGTTATGAAGAACAACAACAAAAAATATTAGAAGTAACATCAAAAGCTAAAAAATGGAAGATTGGTGGATATCCAGTTAGTCCAAGGCTTCAAGATTGGTTAATATCTAGGCAAAGGTATTGGGGTACACCAATCCCAATTATTCATTGTTCAAATTGTGGTGCTCAGCCAGTGCCACGTGATCAACTTCCTGTTACTTTACCAAAAATAACATTTTCGTTTTCAAATAAGAAGCCTACTTTATTGGACGCTAAAGATTGGCTGAACACTACTTGCCCTAAATGTGGAGGGCAGGCAACCAGAGAATCGGATACAATGGATACTTTTGTGGATAGTTCATGGTACTTTTTGAGATACATTGATCCAAAAAATACAAAAGAAATGTTTGACATTGATAAAGTAAAAAAAGTATTTCCCGTTGACCTTTATGTGGGTGGAAAAGAACACGGTATGTAGTTTAATACATAAATCCTGTAGTGTAAACATATTGAAGTATCAATATTATTGTTTCAGCTGTATTGCATTTATATTATGCAAGATTCATGAGTTACTTTTTGTATTCGGAAGGACTGATACCCAGTGCTGAACCATTTAAACAATTACTTGTTCAGGGTATGGTAATGGGTAAAACGTACCAACAGAAGAGTACACAAAAATATTTAAAGGCAGACGAAGTAGAAGAAAAAGGAGGAGAATGGGTAGAGAAAAATACCAATGAACCTGTAATTGTTTCATGGGATAAAATGTCAAAATCCAAGCATAATGGCATTGATCCCCTTGAACTATTAGATAAATATGGAATTGATACAACTAGATTGTTGATATTAGCTGATGTAGCACCAACTTCAAATAGAAATTGGAGCGATGAGAGTAAGTCAATAAAACATTTTCACAATAAAAATTTAAATTAAACGGACAAATAATATATTATTAAAATCTAGCCATTCCTGGGATAATTAATTGGCAAAATCGTTTATGGAGAATTATGAAAAGTTTTATAAACTGTCGAAATAATATAAGTCTAGAAGAACTTCAAGCTAAACCTACCGACCCGAAATTTGAAGACGATGATGCGTACATGTTTGACAGTCGAAATTATTTCTTAAAAACTGTAACATTTAATATAACTGGTTCTCAACAGTTGAGTGTTGCAATATCAAGAATGCAAGGACTTACAAATAGGTATTTATTTCAGAATTATTTCATAGTATATCAATAACAATAAGAACTGTACAATTAAGTCTTCTTTTAATTTTAAGTTTACATAAGGTGTGTTCAGAGTGTATGCAAAAAAGTCGCGAATTTGAGCGTGCATTAGCAGTTCAGATCATAATGCTCGCACCAGTAGCACCACATTTTGCCTCTGAATTATGGGCAGCATTTTGCTCCATTGAACATCATCTTATAAATGAATCTGAAGTAAAATTGGATAAAGATGTAATGGAACAAGATTGGCCGGACATAGATATGGATTACAGGATGGTAATAACTTTGACTGTAAGTCCAATTCCATGTATTTCTTGTATTAGTTATTTCAAGAACTTTTATTATCTTCATGGCATAAACAATTGTATATAAATGCATCACAGATCGTATCAGGTTTTTTTTTATAATTAGGTAAACAATAAACTCGTTAAAAAGATCAAAGTACCCAGATACAAACTAGACCAACTATCAGCCGAGGATGCTCTTGACTTAGTAGTGAATGATCCAGATGTTCAACGATGCTTGAAGAACAAAAAGGTCGCTCAGACTAATTTTCTTTCAAAGGCAGGCTGTGATGCAAAAATGATGATTGTTACAGAAAAGAAAAAGGAGACAGTAGCAACATAAAGCTACTTTATAGTAAGTAATAAATGTAAATATGCTATGTACATAATGAAATTAATTATATAAATATAGACATTTTTCATACTCATAGAGTCAATTACAGAGTAAAGAAAAATAAATTCATGATAAACCATTCTTACCCAATATTATATTCTCCACTATATTCGTTGTGCGGTATTGTTTCTAGAAATTTTATATATTCAGCTGGTAACTGATTTTCTTTTGCACCTTTTAATATTGTATCTCTGTAGTGGAATTAAGACAATATATTAATCGCAATTGCATAAAATCCTTATGTCAAATAAATATAACATACATATATAATGGGGAAGGCCTTCTATGGATTGGTAATAAACGTAGTTTTACGTGTTCATCCGGATTGCTACATTGCTGGTATACTCGACATTTCATGACTTCACCATTTGGTGTCTCAATATCAACCATTAAAGGAAAATATAATTTATCTGCAACACCTTCTTGACAATCTAAAGTAGTCATATTGCATTCCTGTAACTCCCAAACTATACCCCACACATTGTAGTTTTCTGTTGGACAAATTGTTGCAGAACATCCGCCCCATCTCCTTGAGTGCGTCAAAAAATCGAGTCTGAAATTCTGATACAATTCAGCATTTGCACAAAATAAAGTCACTAGTAATTAAACACAAATTGTCGCTAAAAAGAAAGTTTAAATTTTATCAGAAAACTAGAGATAATGCAAATGCTTTAATGTTCTTAATTGCTAATAAAAGCATAAATAACGAAGTTTAAAATCTGACTGTTTAATTTGTGTATATGTACCTTTAGAAGACCGATATCTTTGCGTTCTGCAGTTGGGTTATTAATATGTATTCTTTTCTTTAACATATTACTTCCGTATGCAAAATACAAAAATTTGTTAGACATTTTAACAATACTTCCGATTACTATTTAAAATTAACCAGGACCGACTTAATAGTCTGCATAAGCTAATAAATAGGTTAAGACACCTTTCCTTATCAATATATGTATTTACATACGTATATACATGTGAACGTGTATGAGACGTGCAAATTGATAATCACCTATAATGATTAAATGAGCATTGTGTAGATTTTTAAAGATTCTATCCGACGAGACAATATAAAATCAAAAATAACACAAATACAGCTCATTTCAGATGAATTAGGTTGTATGCAGGTTTCCAGTTTTATGAAAGAATATTACATAGCATTTATTTTAATTAATTAATGTTTCAGTTAATTTACTGTTTTACCTTACAACATAGAAAAATGTAAATTGTGAATGTAGAAATATTAATTTATTAATCCTAATGATATATATAATTACAATACATAAATAATAAAAATTGATTTATTTACAACATAATTATATTAATCAAACTTGTTGTAACTTGCATATACTTCACGGAACATATCGCGACAATTTATTTTGACTTGAAGTTTCGCACATAGTAAGAAAACTCCGGACAATTTTCTGTGCAGGCTATATATTTCTTCAGGTGGAGGACAGAGTCTATTATCTAAGATTGTTGGAACGAGTGCCTGAATTCTGAAATAAATTAATATTCTTATTTTGAAACAACTTTTATCAAAGGAAAAAAAAACAGTATAATATGTCAGTAGTTTTTACCGTTTAGTCACATCTTGTCCCCCAAAATCATAATACTTATGATTCTTATCAAACACTTGTCCTAATACCATAACTGTATCAACATGAGCTTCTTCCATAATCTGAAATTAGTATTATAGCATACATTTATAAAATCTGACTTAATGCATGTTAATGAATGCAGAATTAGCAGTGTCAAACAATTTTTACTTTGGATTCATATCCTGTAAGAAATCCCATTTCCCTGGACAAATTTAAAATTTTATCGCGATCACCTTCGCTTGCAGCGTAAATTATTTCGATGTATTTGTCCATAAATGATTTTCCATATTCTCTGCATGCTCCAAAATCTAACAATACTAACTGAAAATGATATGAAAGAGTGTAGTTCAATTGTATGCATAATCACACAATGTTATATTACACACCTGTCTTGTATTAACGTTATAGAAGAAATTTGACCAATTCGGATCTGTTTGCATATACCGAAAGACAAATAATTCTTTAAGACATAAACGCATTATCAATTTGCAGATATGTTCTCTCGTCTCCAGATCCAAACTTGTACACTTATCTATAGGAATGCCTTCCACCAATTCAGTTGTAAAAACTTGACTTGTCGATAATTCATCTGAATATAAAATTATACAATTACTTACATATTTGAGGAATCAATTCTCTGAATTCATACCTAATACAGCTGGAACATAATAGTCCTTGTAAGGTAATATGAGCTGTTTGTATTTTTTTGTACACTCTGCTTCGCGCATGTAATCAACTTCCCATGCAAGTTCTCGTTTTGCAACTTCCACTAAATTGTCTATAAACATGCCTTTTGGAAAGATATTCCACACCTATACAAATGACTCGTTCGTGATCATCATGCTGACAACTGGAAAGCAAGAAAAAAATAGAATATTTTATTTACCTTCATTATGCCTACTAAATTCTCCACATCACTTTGAATTCCCATAGCCACGCCAGGATACTGAATTTTAATTGCTACATCTTGACCATTTAATAAAGTACCATGATGTACTTGACCTGTAATTATTTCATACATTATCAAATGTTCTTGAAACTAGATCTATCTATAATATATATTCTTTTTATTAATGAAAATATTCCACCAATAGATGCTGCAGCAAATGGTTTCTCTTCAAATGTAGCTAGCTTGTTCCTCCAATCGTGTCCAAGTTCACTGGCTAATACTTTCTGAAAATAATTAAAGAAACTATATATTCATAGTAATTTTGTTCCTGTCAGACAAATGATTGAAGTGATTTAAATACCTCCACTTGCCATGTCGGCATAAAATCAGCACTCTGTCTAACTCTTTCAAAAACTTTCTGTAACTCTGGACTAATAATACTCTCATCTTGGATACTTAAAATTTGCCCAATTTTTAAAGCTGCACCTGTTATGATTGTTTAAAAAACATGAAATTATTAATTACCAGGAAATGCAATGCCTGCATTATTAATATTTACCTCTTACTTTACATAGAGTTGAAACTATTCTTTCTGCGTTTGCTTTTGTGAGAAACATACTATCGAATGTCTCTCCAAGACTTTGCGTTTTTAATCCCAGTGTTCTGCGTGTATATTCTGCAACAGTACCAACACCAAGACCAACTCCTAATGTACCAAAACTTACCATTCTTTGTAATCTGGTAGCTGGGACTTTCTGAGCTTTTGCATTGGGGGAGAGCTTTGAAATAAAAATGACTTTGTTAATGCATGTTGCGTGTAAGTTGTGTGAGAAGGAAAAAGAGACTTACAGTTTGCTTTGGCCTAACAGATGGTCTAACTTGAGGTTTTTTTGGAGTTGTGCTTATATCTTCCTTTGCTTTGTCTACTAATACTTGAGAATCAGCTATTGATATCTGGCTTTTCCTTTCACTCTGACTTTTTATATTCTGCTCATGCTCTAATTCCAATCTTCTTAGGATTTCTTTATCTTTGTCTGAAAGCTCAATCTTAGGTATCTCATTTTCCAATTTGGATATTGTCTCAATTTTTTCTTTCACTGTTGTATATTTTCTTATTATAGGTTTATCTTGCATACTTTCCACATCTTTAGACTTATCGTTCTGTTGTACATTTATAATATTGGGTTCAATTGGTACTTCCTTAGGATCTTTTGCAATATTATAAACATATAATTTGGTTTTGCTCGATTTTGTGTTATTTTGGTGATCTATAGGTGCAGCTGTTACTATAGTAGATTTTACTTTAATAAATTCCATTATGCCTTTCTCAACAACGCTTAATCGTTCAGCCATTTCATTTAGTTCTCTTATTACTTGACCCTTTACAAGTGTAATAAAAAAAATATTAACTTACATTAATTTTATAAATATAAATTATAATTGATACAATATTATATATAATATCACACTAAGGACCATGTTTCAAGGTAGAAGCAAATTATAAAAACTTACAGGAACCTTACTTGGTTCTATAGTATTTAGTTTCTTCATACAGTCTGTTGCACATTTTTCTGTAATAGTTTTTAAGCTTGATGTCTGTATTGAATGTTTAATTACATCTTCTTGATGCTTTATAATGGCATTGGTTACCGCCCTAGCTCCTCTCAGTATACCGATGAGATCAGACATCCAAGGTTGAGACATTTCTGTGATTCAGTTTAACAACAAGCAATCTAAATAGGTAGTTGTTTAATGATTAATTAGTACAACTTTTAAAATGTGAACTTAAAGAATGTTACTTCTACTTTATTTACACTGTGTTTCAATTTTAATTTTACGTAATAGTAATATACAAATCAATTTTTCATAAACTACTTATAAGGAGTTTTAAGAATTCAGAATGCTACGTACTTGAATATGAATGAGAGTATTCACATATATCGCGTATGTTTAAAATAAATGCAGAGACCTTGAAAAACACAAATAAGGTTATAGTATTATGTTATATATACATTAATAAGGTGATAGATACTTTTTATTTTGGTTCGATGTACTTTTTGTATAATAATAAATCTTAAATATTTGAACCTTATTATTCAATAGAAACATTTAAACTATTGGCACATTTTAAATGTATGTCTCGTCAGACAACCTTCATACGTATCACGAGACGAGTGTATACTTATAATGCAATCTCTTATGTAGAATTTCGCGAGCACATGTTTCTGACTTTCATTATCTTATTTTCTTAAAAGCGTTGATTAATTTAACAGTATATGTTCGTAAAGTTAGGAAATGATTAAAGGTTAATAGTTTTTTTTTTCAAAATCGTTTATTTTCCATCGTATGAGACTTATATACGGTTTATTAACGACGGTTTCACCGCTATTTACGAAATTACAGAAATTCTACAATTTAAGAAAACCTCCTGTTAATATATTATTTCATCCACGAGATACATATTCGAGCAAGGCTCAAACATTTAATACATTAAACAAGGTGCATTCGGAAATTCACCAGTGTTAAGAATCACAGAAATAATCATTGCATGACATACTTATTGCTGTAATAATCTATGAACAAAAATTGGCAAGCTGTAAATTTGACTATCATCTTTTCTCAATTTTTGTATGTATTTATCAATAACTTACAAGCTCTACAACAACTTCATTTATATACACAGTATATAGTTTCTCTCGTTGTATCTTTATATAACTACAGAAACAGAAAGTTTATTATACAACAAATCCTAAGTACTTTGAGATAACTGTTAATAATCTCTCGTTGAATTGAAGCTAGAATCAGTTGCTATAGAATAATTATTGATTGCATATTCATTTTATGAATAAACCCTAGGGTAGTCTCACTGAATTAATGTAATACTCAAAAGTTTATACGTACCAATGAAAATATCTATAAAAATGCTACTTACTTTAAGCACATATTTAATATGCATACTTATTATTACATGCATTATTGTATACAAATGCCTTATTCTTGAAAATTCGATAAAACTCTTTCAAAATGATGTTCTCCGAACGTCGTTTTTAGAATTCTTAGCAAATGTTAATTCGTTTTTAAGATTCCTTCAAGTTTCATAAGAGACCACCTCTATGGGTTTAGTGTCACGATCTAAGAACTGTTTCAACAAGAAAATTAACTGTAAAATCAAACTGAATGCAAAAAATCTGAGACCCTACAGAATTACATAACATGTGGTTGATCTGGAATAAGAGATGCAAAAAATGTACTGAAAAATGTCCAAGTGAATGCAAGTGCACCAGGCCTTTCTTCTTCGTGTTCTTCATTCGCGTTCGTCCTGACCTCTGTTTGTACAGTTGGTAGCTGACCATTTTGTTGCTGTGCTACCGGTTGAGGACCTCCAGCTTCATTTTGCAATACTTGATTATTATTGTCTACTCTGTCTACTCTGCCATTATTATTCTCTGGTAAGAGAATCGGTTGCACCCGAAAGAAACCACCCTGGTATCTGCAAAGTATTCAGTCTATTATTATTTCCATACATTATGTACTTTAACTTTCTTCATTATGAGTGTATGAACTTACAGATACATTGCAAAGCCAAGAAATGTAACAATAAGAAATCTCAATGGAGATGAATAAAAATATACGATACTGAGGAGAACAAAAATTCTGGATACGGTATAAAAGAAATCTAGCCAATTTCTATTAAATGCACCATCCTCTCCCGCACCATTGCCACCATTAATATCAGCATCTTGTGCAGCAGGTTGTTGCTGCTCATCACCTACATTGTTATTGTTATTATTATTTGTATTATTTCCATGTGTATTTTGAACACTATCATTGGTATCAACATTCATTTGTTGTACATATGGAATGCTAGTTTGTAGTTGAATTCCTTGAGCAGCCATACTGCAACCAACCATGTAATGTTTTACTATTATATTACTTTCAATCCTCAAAAAAAATAATCATACGAATTTTACTTACAGTTGCATATATTGCGTAAAGTAATGTGTATACGCTTGTTGCATCCAAGCAATTTGTTGACTATTCCTTGGATCAAAATATTGTTGTGTAGAATACAATTGTGTAGGAGTGTGTTGTATGGTGACATTGTTAACATTTTGACCCTGGTTTTGAACATTATTTGTATTATTTAATCTTGCATGTTCCACTGCACTTCTCACAGATGAAATGACGCTTGTGCTTTCCACAATGTTTTGTGCAGAAACTTTTTGCGAAGCATAAACTAAATGTACAGTATAAGCTTGATCTTCTTGTCCATCGCATAGTCTCAAAACATCTTTCAAACACGTGGAATCATTTAATAACTGTCCTGAGTATATAAGTTTTTGGCTTGCCATTTCCTAAGAACAGGAATTACAGCTATGTAAGTAAGGACATACTATTCACGTGAACATAAATAATGTAATATATGAAGATAAATATTGTAAATAAGCACAAGATTATTAAAAAGGAATAAAATGTTGAAAATTCATGTATAAGAAATCTTGGTATCTTTAAATGATAATGCATTATAAACATTTTTATTCGAAAATATCGAAGAGATGTTCGGGGCTTTAGCATTTCTCTTAATCGATTTTGCTTTCACCAAGTATCAACAACTTTCACAAAATTTCACACGGCCAAGTTCAGGAACAGAAGCTACGATACTCACTGGTTTGCTAGGATAAACTTCAGACAGATATTCCTTTAATCGACCAATGGTCCATCCGATATCACAGTTAACAATTTGATCCTTAATTTGCTGATTCGGTGTTTTTATTATTAATTTTACTGCAGTTCCTTCCATTATCGCGGAACTTCAGTTCTGTGTTTCGTTTGATCAGCTGTCTTGCACTGTCAATTACTTGAACAGTGTTAAAATTACCGATTCTACCGAGGCAAATTGATATCACTGTGACTTCGTAATTTAGACGATGCGTCCTTAGATTTATCAAATCAGTCCGTTGATTTCTACCAATTTTTCCTGTATATTATTATGTTAAACACCGACTGCAATAAAAGTGAACGACGATACAGAGGATACAGCACGACTGTCTGATTGTGAGAAACATGAACGAGCATTTAATCGGTGATGTATTTTTGTAAGAGTCACTAAGTGGAATCACGTATTTGGCGACTTATCATTGGCTGTAGATTACGATTTATTTATGGTTCGGTAAAGCCGGATTTTCAACTATGTTTTCTATGTTTCGCCCCTCTACTTATGCTGCTATCGCAATCTAACCGACGGTATTTTTGTGCCATCTCGTAACAGGTCTAAGATACTAATTGGATAATAGTTTGGGCATTTTGTCGTAGATGGTGACATACGTCATTTTTATCTTAATACACGTAAAACGTAAAACATTTTTAAAAATAATTTAGGAGAGTTTCAAGTGTGTTGTCAAAGATGAGAATGAGAAAAAATCTAGTCACACGGTATGAAGTTCTTTTATTTTATACGCAGTTATTCCAACTGCCTGCGAATTCGTAATGTTTACCATCGTGTAACATTCAGAGTAGCATCAAGTAACATTACTATCGAACGTACAGTGCAGTTACAGAGCTTATTTTGTTACAAATCTGAACCCTTTTATGATAATTGCTGGTTTTTAAATTACATCAGGAGAAAGCTTTTATTTTGACTGGAAATAATTCATGCTAAGAATTTCTTAGTTCACCAGAGTGGACAAGTAATTACATGCATATTTTGACATCCGGGGTAGACAGGTCTTGACGATCATGGAAACTTACATAGTTTCAGTTTGCCGCGAAGAATAGTTGGCAGTTATTGTTGGCCAGACGCCTTTCAAATTTCGTTTGAATTCGAATTGAATTAATTTCAGATATACAATGAAATGTAAGTGTTGCTTTGTTTCTTTCAATATACACTTTTATCTCGATACAGTGCTGTTCAGTTTCCAATTGGAAGTTCTAGGAAAACTTATCAGATAACGAAAGACAACAAGAATCTGATTTAAATATTTAACCCTGATATATAATGATAATATGTGAATACTGTTAGGAGTTCAGTGTTTAATTGTTAGCAAATTTAGTGACATTTTCTAATATATGAAGCTTGAATTAAAAATCTTAATAATGTATCAAATGTTTGACACATTTGTATTTGTGATTTCAGTATTTTTTAAATTAAGCAATTGTATTTCACTTTGTATTTTACAGGGTTCCCACCAGAACTACCAGAAGCAGCTCAAGGCGATCTTCTGTAAGTATATTAATGTCTTGATGATATGAGAATAACTTATTTAACACAAATGTTGGTTATCCTTGGTTTTGCTTTATACACATTACATTTTCATTATTTTGGGCTGAAAGAAATATATAATTCGGTGTGTTCATATTTTAACAATAAGCTTTATTCAATTGTTCACAACTGTGGCTAACATTACTATTATTCTTGTGATGTATATAGATCCTTAAGCCTCCTAAACCACGACAACCACTGCAGAATTTAAATTTTAATACTTCATCCAATGAAAGTAGTCCTACATGTACTATAAAACCTAAAAGACGCGTCAGTTTTGCAGAGAAGAAACATGTAAAGTGAGTCTTTTGTTCCTTGTTTGTAAACTTTGTGTTTGTGAAATTTTGAAATGTAATAAATTAATTTGTTACGCAGAGAATTCTGTAATTCTGTTGAGCAAGGGACTGTATGGGATAGTACATATGAGGAACATGATTTAAGTAATCTTAAAGTCCCTTGCACTTCCAATGAAGAACATTGTAATGTTGAAAGTGTATCCACAGGAAATATTGAAGTCGCTAATTGTTGTAATGAATTTATCCATATTTCTTCTGAAACTCTTGATGAATGTTGTACAAAGGATGCTAATGTGCAGTCTGCACCTGAAGAAATACTTCAGAAGGATTCAAATGTGAAAGATTATGAAGTAACTTTTAGATGTGTATTAGAAGATACAGAATCTACATACAAATCACCGATCAAAGAAGACACAAATGAGTTTGTACTTCCAACTGATTTACCATTAAATAGTGAGAGTCATGTGTGTAAAAGCTTCATTGTATATGAGGATCCAGACATAAATCTGCCTAAGAAAGTTGAAAGTAGTCAAGAAATAAATGTCAATTATTTTGATTCTGATAATATTAATGGTATGTCTGTTTCAAATGCAGAAGAGATGGACCTTACTGAAATTGTTAGTAATGCACATTCTGGCACAAATTGTAATGAGACAGAAGGGGTACTTGAACATTCTTTGGAATTAACTGAAGTAATTCCAACATCAATTAAATATTTAAATACAGCTAAAAATGTTCAGCAAAATATTGAAAATCTGAATCCGAATTGCTGCAGTTCTATTATGTCACTCCCAAATAATCTTAATGATTCGGATTTACAAATATATCGTAATAGAACTCAAAATTTTAATGATGTCTCAATGGAAATAACTGTAGCAGTACCCACTAAATCATACAATTTGCCAGTGGAAGAATTCAATGATGTATCAATGGAAGTTACAAAAGTCGTGGAACCAATTACTCGTACAAATATGATGCATCAAAATATAGTATCCAATACGTTATTGATACAAACAATGCCACCAAATAAGAATGATATTACATGCATAGACGAAAGGACTATGGAAATGACTAAAGCAATCAATATGCAATCTGCAGTTAAAAATAATTTTGAAAATTCGAGGTATAATGTAAATGCCTATAAAACATCAGTGAATTTTGATAAGACTGTAATTTATGATAACATAGGGATGGAAGTTACGACAGTCATACCGACAGTACTTAAAGCTCATTCAGATATCTTAATTACAGAATCAGATAAAACCAGAATATTTCACGATAATTCAATGACAACTACAGCTGTAGTGTCTTCTTTGAATGAGATTGATACATTACCAAAAGTGCATACAGGTCAGTTCGAGTCAGAATCGGATAGAACTAGGGTATTTCAAAATAATTCAATGACAACTACAGCTGTGGTATCTTCTTGGAACAAGATGAATATGGTACAAAAAATTCAATCAGGTCAGTTTGATTCAGATACAGATAGAACTAGGATATTTCATAATAATTCAATGACAACTACAGCTGTTGTATCTTGTTTGAACAAGGTAGACACATTACCAAAAATGCAATCAAGTCAGTTTGATTCAGAAACAGATAGAACTAGGATATTTCAAAATAAGTCAATGACAGCTACAGCTGTGGTATCTTCTTTGAACAAGATGGATACGGTACAAAACATTCAATCAGGTCAGTTTAATTCAGATACAGATAGAACTAGGATATTTCATAATAATTCAATGACAACTACAGCTGTTGTATCTTGTTTGAACAAGGTAGACACATTACCAAAAATGCAATCAAGTCAGTTTGATTCAGAAACGGATAGAACTAGGATATTTCAAAATAAGTCAATGACAGCTACAGCTGTGGTATCTTCTTGGAACAAGATGAATACGGTACAAAAAATTCAATCAGGTCAGTTTGATTCAGATACAGATAGAACTAGGATATTTCATAATAATTCAATGACAACTACAGCTGTTGTATCTTGTTTGAACAAGGTAGACACATTACCAAAAATGCAATCAAGTCAGTTTGATTCAGAAACAGATAGAACTAGGATATTTCAAAATAAGTCAATGACAGCTACAGCTGTGGTATCTTCTTTGAACAAGATGGATACGGTACAAAAAATGCAATCAGATCAGTTTGATTCAGAAACGGACAGAACTAGGATATTTCAAAACAATTCAATGACAGCTACAGCTGTGGTATCTTGTCTGAACAAGGTGGACACATTACCAAAAATGCAATCAGGTCAGTTTGATTCAGAAACGGATAGAACTAGGATATTTCCAAATAAGTCAATGACAGATACAGCTGTGGTATCTTCTTTGAACAAGATGGATGTCTCTGAAGAAAATATGACAGATTGTGAACCTAAAACTAACTTAGACACTCAAGAGCTAGGTAGACCTACGATATTTTCGAACATTTCTATGGAAATGGGTGAAACTATACCACCCTTACAAAATACTTCTCAAATGGAGATATCTACTATGGATACAACTGGAATCAAACGGGCAGTATTATCTGAAAGTTTTAAGAACAGAACTTGTTCTACAGCCTCCTCAAGAGACATAAACGTTTTAGCGGTTCCTTCTCCATGTTCGAGCGAATCGTCGGATGAAGAGAATCGTGTAATAAATAATATAGAAAATGTGAAAGATGATTTCACTGAGAAACCTATTCCAAATGATATTCCAGATCCTATAAACATTGAAGCTAGCATGGTCTTGCATGATCCATTAGAGCAACATACTTGTGCTTCAGCTTTAAACGAAAATAACACAGAAGCAGCTTCTGCTCCACTTAACTTTGCACCGAGTGATTCTTTATGCACTATAACATCGGATATGAATCACGGCAAATGCTTGCAAGCTCAACACTCGCAGGATGTTGTGTCGCATTCTAGAAGAACATACACTATAAAATCATTAGAGACTGATTTTTCTTTTACAAATAGTAATAAGGAGCGCAGTATAATTGCAGAAACGAATAATGATATACAAGACAAAGATAGTTGCAACGATCAGTTTCTAATAGAGAGCAATGGTGTATTTTTTGATAAAAATGTAGAGGAATTGGAGTCAATTAAGCCGCCATCATTTATCTGCTTAGATGATTTGTCGAATGAAGATATGCCTGTGAATACTAATTACGATCCAGAAATCAATAAGGAAGCAGAAGTTAATTCAATCTTGGATAGTGTTAAAAGATCGGAGGTACCTGAATACAAAAAAACTCCGGTGCTGAGTAAAAAAAATGTATTAGAAGAAGATGTAGATAAATCAAGAAAGTGTTTGAATGAAGGCGCATCTTTGGATAATAAATTAGTCGCTTCAAGATTTGAGTTTAATGATCCCACACAGTTTAGTGAAATTCAGCAATTACAGCTACCACAAATGGACGATACTGATACTGAGGTTCAAGCTTTGGAGTGTTTTTCTTTACCCATAGATGATTGTAAAAGAATTCCT